CCCCCCCCCCCCCCCCCCCCGGCCCCCTCCCCCCCCGCCCCGAGGCCCCCCCCCCCCCCCGCAGCAGCGCCTTCCCCGGGGAACTGTGCGGCAGCTCCCCACCCCCGCTCACCTCTGCTCCGCCTCCTCCCTGAGCACACCGCCCCCGCTCTAATTCTCCTCCCCTCCCAGGCTTGCTGTGCCAAACAGCTGATTGGCGCTGCAAGCCTGGCAGGCGGGAGAAGTGGAGCGGCGACCACGCGCTCGGGGAGGGGGCGTAGGAACGCTGTAAAAAAAAATTGGGGGCACCGCTTTTTGGCGCCCCCAAATCTTGGCACCCTAGGCAACCGCCTAGTTTGCCTAAATGGTAGCACCGGCCCTGATCACACTCCTTCTCTACCTTTACTTCTACAGGTGTGCCCTCCCATCAATAGAGATATGGGTACCCCATTTCCTTTCAATGACAAATGTTACATCTGCTTATACTGCACAATGCAGCTATAGACGTTAAGAGAATTTGAAGCCTGATCCCCCTCCAGTCCAGATGCTGCTCTGTGTGACTTTATCTGCCCTGTTAAGTTCCATGTTACAGCATTGTATAATAGAAAATGGTGAGGGTCAAGGGAACCCTGAATCTTAATATGGACACACAGGCTCTGTGTGCCACCTTCAGTACTCCAGCATTGGACTCAATGGTTCAAAGAGAAAATATAGTTTGCATTCATTCTGAATGCAGAATTCCTAAACAGTGTGAATCCCCAGGGATGATGGGGCAGGGTTCACCCTGAGGGGAAATTGGGACAGCTGCAGTTTCCCTTGTTAAAGTTAGGTATGGATGTGAGGAGAAAAGGGGACAGAAAGGAGAGACCTGGATGGGAGCAAGGAATTGTCCGTCTATCCCATTTGCCTTTAAACATGTTGGACCCTCAATCCCAGACAGGTTATGTACAGTATGTACATTATACATTACATTGACATAGCATCTTTCATGTCCACGGACCCTCAAGGCACTTCACAAAATATACAAATGACAATCACTTTCACCCCACACGGAAAGGCAGCCAGCCATGGAGTGGAACTGTTTACCAGTGCAGAATGGGCAGAACATAGTGACTCATTTGCCTGGGATTTTAGAACTAACATTTCTAACACATCAAGGTATTGCTTTTCTTTGTTCACACAGTTGTTCTAGAAGTGTCTTCCTCCCATAACTTGTGACAATCTGATGTCATTACCGGAGTCGCACATTCACGTCTTGTTGAGCGTGTACCCTGAATTACTTCAACAGGAAGATGAGAAAGCCCAAAGCATCATTGTATTGAGTTTGATGCAGAGAAATTGCAAACATTTCAGACTCAAGGGTTAGATTCCTAATGTTCCTTGGAGGGTGAGAGAAGCTGACTCCGAGTGGAAGTCTGTTACATTTTGTACAGCCCCCAGTAAGTCTGATTGTCTTTCAAGATGTGTCCAAGTCCGCTATTGATTGTACAGAACAGCTTCTCCCCCTTGCTCAGAAAATAAGGTCTCCCGAAATTGATGGAGGCAGTTTTCTCCCCAGTATTTGTCCCAGTCATCTGGTTGAGGAGAATATTCTCATCTTTGTACAGCATCATCGTAAAATAACTTTCTATTTCCTTTATGCGGGTCACCTGGGCATAGATGAAGTACATGCCACTCTGCAGGATCTCCAGCTTTTGGTCAGAGTCATTCCTTACGAAGCTACTGCAGTCTGTCAAGTTCCACTTCCATATGATGTAATGACCATGATCATCTGAAGGTGCTTCCATAAAGGAACCAGACAAGGAAGAAAACAAAGCGAAAAGCATACAAAGTGGTTAATTATATTTCAAAGGCTAGCCCATTTCCTAGATTTTCCCTTGTCATTTTGTAAATGCTCTCCATTAGTTCATATCCCTTCTTACCTTTTCCTTATCTCTTTGATTTGAGGTCTTTGGGGAAGAAAGGGAAGGGTCTGAGCCACAAAATTCAGAGCAGGACCCAGACTCTGAACAACTCCCAGAGTTCTGGGCTGTTTGGAGCTGGGATTCTGTTATTCAGACCCAGATTCAGATTCTGACACCCATGAAGTGAGGGGATCTTTAGGTCCAGGGTTTGGGTCTGAGCCCATCTTACTTAATTAAATCATTCGACTGCTGTTCAGGGGGCAGATCCTCAGCCAGTCTAAATCAGCATGGCCCACTGGAGTCAACCCGGGTTAAGGTAAAGGGGAGCAGGGCGAAGCCCAGCTCTCCCTCCGCTTCTAAAAGGTAAGCAGTGCTCTCCAACAACTAACTCCCTCTCCTCACTGGCCGTTGTGGTGAGGGCACCTTCCTGTTTCAGTCAGCAGACACAAATCCAGCCCATCCCAGCGAGTAAACTTTTCACTCTGAAAAGTGACTGTGGATACAGTATTTCCTGACTCACCAGATCTGATGCCTATGTTTGTGTTCAGAATCGTATCTGCTTTCTATGCTGAATCACAGCATTTTCCTACTGTTTAGTCCTGTTATTGCTCCAGAGCCAGCACCTCTCGGGGTGACTGCTGGAGTCTATCCAGACACTCAGACATCATCAACAGAACTGTTAATGAAGGGTTTGTCTACACAGAAAAATTCTGCTGATTTAATTATGTCTGTTTAGAAACTAATCTGGTACATTCTTAATTTGGGTTAAGAGGATTTTATATCAATTTAGCTTAAGTCAGTAAGGAACTGACAAGCTAAAACAAGGTCTTGCTCACAGATGTAACAAGTTTCATTTCCAAAATCTTTCTTGTTGCTGCTGCATTAAGCCAAAAGGCTTCAGCTTGATTTTCAGATCCCAGGATGAAATTACAGGCCTAGCAGTTAGGACAACCCCCCCCCCCCCCCCCTTTTTAAATTAGTAACATTTGAGAATTTGATCTGCGGTCACTGAGAGACAATAAATATGGAACCCCAGGATGCTGTTTGTACAGTCATGTTTCAAAGCAGAACTGCACCTTAAGAGAGATGATTCATATGATACCGCTAGCTAGTGCTTGGAACAGAACTGAAAAGCGACTGACACCCGCTTGCCTACAATAGCCACTAGATCACCTGGGCTTCATGTTTCTCTGTTTTCATTATTTACTGTTGTTCATAGATAGGGGAGAAATACTCCAGCCTGCTGAGTACATTATTGTGATCTAGTCGCCTTCACCGCACTGTGTGAATGGTAAAAATCAGAAAACCACTCCAGTATCTTGATACTTACAAGTTGCATGAGCCCAGCAGATCTCCGGAGACTGTGGAGAGAAGCAAAGTTTGGTCAGGATGTTGCATGTTATGGCCTGGGACTTTTACATCTATCAACTAATGTTCTTTGTGTGTTTGGGAGAGGTCCCAGGCAGCAGAAGTCTTTCTGTTATCAGAGGAGACAGACTTCTATTGGGTCTCTTTCAATTGGCTCTTCACTTTCACTGGAAAGCAGCTGCTTAACCCAAATGGCATCTCGCCCTAGGGCTGTTTTAATTTTAAATGTTGGCGGAGGTTTTGGTGTTTCTAAGAGTAAGAGTCTAAACGACACAGGATACCTCCAGACATCACACAGCACTGGCTGGTGCCATGTAACTGTACCCCATGCTTACTTAGTCTGTCTCTTTGTCACCCTCTAGTGGGTAAAGCATGTTTAGAGGTTTATGAATCTGTTACTGCCCCCAAGGTAACAGCTCTGGATCTTTAGCTTTGGGGATAGACACTTATACGTTTAAATGCAGAGCTTCTGGGTTTAAATCACACAGATAACCTTCCAGGAACATTGTTACTCCATCTTTTCATGTGGCTTTGCCAGTTTTTATTAAATGAAATCAAATTGTATTGTCTCTTACATTGTGGTTTTAAGGAAAGACATATAGTTAAGAAATGTTTGATTTGGTTTATTTTATTTAAAACTGCAATAAAACATTACTTTTCAAGAGCAGTGAAAGAGCTAGCAGTGATGTCAAAGAATCATCACTGAAATCTGAGTAAGCCCCTGTTGAATGCTGCATTTCACAGCTATAGTTTCAGGCTGTCTGCAAATTTAGGTAGACGTATCATTTGTATTCATATCAGGTTTTGAAGATTTTCTCCCCAACTATAACAGCCAGAGACTAATTTTTTTTAAATGAAAGCTAAGACTCTGGAGAACAACCAAAGGGTCTGTCTGAGCATGACCCTGGTTAGTCCTTTTTACTGCCTTTCCTTGTGGGAATGCCCCACAGCTTGGAAAACACAAGTAGAGTGAAAATGTGTCTGTTTACATCCATAAGTTGGCAGTACTCCATCTGTCCTGTGGATACTGGCCAGCTGTCTGACTGATCCATATGAAATGGGAAAAGGGAAGTAACTCTCTTACTTACAAGTGTAAACAATCAACAATTTCAAATATTAGTGTAAATCTCTTATGTTAGATAGTAGTGGCCTAAAATATTTTACATTATTAAATATTATTAATTATTATTATTAAATATTAATGATTAATTATTAATTGTTTTCTGTGCATATTTTCTTGGGCTTTTGCACCAAATATAAAAACAAACCACAGACATTAGTACCTATTAGGGGAGACAATCACCTCACTTCTTAATTGTGGCAACTTCAATTCCATTTCTTCGCCTCTCCCATACAGAAACTACCAGTAGCAACAACCCATCTGGAAAGATTTCTCCTCCTCCTCCTCTTCATCATCAATGATTATTATCTGTTATTGCTGTTGTTGTACCTTGAGCCCCATCAGGACCCCCTTTGTGATAGGTGCTAAGTACATATATTATTAAGAAAGACGGCCACTGCCAATATAGTCTAAACATATTTTTAACGGGAATGAATTCAGACCCTGGTTAGTCCTTTTTACTGCCCACCCTTGTAGGAATGTCCCACAGCTTGGAAAACACACAGTAGAGTGAAAATGTGTCTGTTTACATCCATAAGTTGGCAGTACTCCATCTGTCCTGTGGATACTGGCCAGCTGTCTGACTGATCCATATGAAATGGGACTTCAAAGGTCATTGCATTTGTGCATTGGCCTAGATTTTGTCCCAGATCTCCTGGCATGAATGGCTACAGTAGTTCATAGATGCTACAACACAAAGTCCTGCCAGACTTTGCTTACAGTGGAAACATGCAGTATTTTACATTGATCTACATAAGGCTACCGGACAAACACCTGCACTATTGTGTACCTTAGTTTTAACCTACTGATCCTGACTGAGTTCCCATAACCAGTATTCTGCTTAGGTTCTTATACTCGGCCTGTCACTGTGGTATTTCAGCATCTGCTTCTAGCAACTGGAGGAAATGACTCTTTGTTCAAGGGACATGACGACTGACATAGCTTTCAGCTAATACGTAGCTGAGCCTTTCCTTCCATGCTGCCAGCGAAATGCCCACTGTCCAGGGATAATTCTATTAACTGACTCAGCTGCCCAAAAGATTGGGGTGGTCAGAACACCTTAGCTCAAAACACATAGATGACACTTTGCCCTTCTCTAGAACCTTCCATCCAAGGCCTCAAAGCCCTGTGACTAATCTTCCCACCCCCTGGCTCTCTCCATTGAAGTACAGGGAGCTAAAGTGATTCATGTGAAGTCACCAGGGCTGGCCTTACGGGTGGGCGATGATCAGGGTGCCATGGTCAAGAGGGTGCCGGCGCCCAGGCAGGGTAAGAGGTGAGCGCCCACCGGCTGGGGTCTGCTCCCCAGTTGTGGGTGGTTTCATTGGCACATGTGGTGTCCCAGCTCGGTGGAGGGGGCAGGTGGGGTGGTCCAGCTCCAGCCAGGGGAGAGGCTGAAATTGCAGGGTCTGTTGCTGTAACTTGTGGCTGGGGAGGGTCTGCCCTGGGGGCAAGCTGCAGGAGCCCCGGTGGGCCTGGGGGAATGCTCTGCAGGGCAGGCTTTGCCCTTGGGGCTCGGAGATCTGCTTCCACCCGGTGTCTCCTGCAATCACCCTGGGCTGCCTGGCACAGCCTGCCCACCAGGGTAGCTGCTCACCTGTCCCTAATGCCCACGAAGCAAGGGCAGATGGGGCACGCCCGGGCTGGTGGCGAATGCTCCTGGGACTGCAGAGCGGTATCCAAAGTTGGGTGGCATTGAGGAGTGGAGGCAGCAGAGCTCCCTGGACAAGTTCCCAGCAGCCGAGCTGGATGCATGCTGGGCTGGGCTTCTGTTTGTGCCTCACAGCGCTGCCATCCCCCCGGTGCTTGCACGGCCGCCAACCTGGCATTCTCACCACTGGTGCCAGAAGCTCAGGTGCTACGGCGAGCTAGCACTGAACATATGGGCTGCCTGTGCCATTTGCAGCGGTCTCTGCTGTAGGTGCACACAGTCCCTACTGTGACTTACAAGCTTCTCCAGTAAACTTCAGGTGTGTGACCGGATTGTGCTTAAACTCAAAGAAAGTTCGCCCAGGGCACCATTTTCCCTAAGGCCAGCCCTAGATGTCACAAATGACATCATCGGCAGGACTAGAACTCTGCCATCTTGCCTCCTCCTTCATTTTGAGCTCTCAGCCATGCTTCTTCCCCAGGATCGCAAGCAGGGCCTTTTATTCTTTCAGCTTGTGAAAGCGTTTGCAGATGGGAGCAGGAGTAAGCCCAGCTTACCCACTCTGTTAAGGACCAGATTGCAAACTCTTCACTCACATTGCCTTTAATGGAACTACTCCTGTGAGTAATGGCTCGACACTGTGCATAAGGGGCTCACAATCTAGCCCTATATAACAAGTTTGTAGCGATGTTCACTCAATGGCAAATACCAAACTAGCAAACTTGTCCTGCCCTTGCAGATGGATGGATTCAATCAGTTGGTCTTCCCCATCCCTAACTACAGTGCAAAGAAGAGCTTTTGTTTATTCAGACAGTGCTCTCTCTGCAGTGGGAAAGAAAGGGGAAGGAGATGGAACTCTTACGGGATGGGGTGTGCTTTACTTTGCCAGTATCACATGTAATTTACTGTCAGTGGTATGCAATTTTGAGCACAGTGCATGTCATGAGACTCCTGTGTTATGCCTCCAAAATAGAATGGCAGGACGGGGAAGAGGGAGAACTTAAAAGAAAAAAAAAAGTTGCACCAAGATAATTTTTCTCCTAAACGCTTTATAAATTTCTGTTCTGACAGGTTGTGCTCCTGTGAGGTGCTGAGCACCCTCTAGCCCCATGGGAATTGAGGGTGCTCTGCATTTTGAAGGAGTGATCAGCACCTTACAGGGAGGATCCCTGGGGGAGGGACAGCTCAGTGGCTTGAGCATTGGGCTGCTAAACCCAGGGTTGTGAGTTCAGTCCTTGAGGGGGCCACTTAGGGATCTGGGGCAAAATCAGTACTTGGTCCTGCTAGTGAAGGCAGGGGGCTGGACTCGATGACCTTTCAGGGTCCCTTCCAGCTCTATGAGATAGGTATATCTCCATATATATATATCCCCTAGTGTAACTCATGATATACGCCACAGCCATCATATTTCCTGGAGGTGTTTGATACTGATAGGGTTACCATCCGTCCGTATTTCCCCGGACATGTCTGGCTTTTGCGTCTCTAAATAGCCGTCCGGGAGGAATTGGTTACAAGGTTAAAATGTCCGGGGTTTTTTTCTCCCTCGCCTCCCTCCCTCCCTTCCATGCAGAGTGCGGCTGCTGACTGGGCGGCTGGGCCAACTGACCCGCTCCCATTGGCCTCCAGCAGCCAGAGCCCTCCCCTGCTCCCCCCTCCCTCTGTCTGTAGCCCTGTGTAACACACAAACCGACCCACCGGGCAGAGTATTTTGCAAACACATGGAGCCAGAATGGTAAGGGGAGTCGGGGGGCGGGGGGGAGCAGTCAGGGAGCGGGGGAGTGTTGGATGGGTCCTCGGCCTCCACCTGCCAGCCCCCCTCCTTGCGTCCCGTCCCCCCGTGGACCCCCCCCGCCTGCCTCTCCCTTGTCTGCTGCCCCCAGGTCCTAGTGTCCCCCATCTACTAATGGGAAGACAGGCTGCCCTTACCCTGCCCTTCCACCCTAGCCCTGAGCCTCTCCAACGCCCCAAACCCCTCAGCCCCAGCCCTCATCCCCCACACCCTAATCCTCTGCTCCATCCCTGAGCCCCCTCCTGCATCATGAACCCCTCATCCTCAGACCCACAGCCCTCACCCCTGCATCCCCTCCTATCCCCAAACCCCCTCCCCACACCCCCCTCCTGCCCTCAAACTCCCTCCCAAAGCCTGCACCCCCTCCCTTTGCACCGCCTCCCACCCCCAAACTCCATCCCAGAGCCTGCACCCCTCACCCCCTCCTGCACACCCACCCCCTGCCCCAGCCCGGAGCCTGCACCCAGCACCCAAACTCTATCCCAGAACCTGCACCCTGCACCCCTCCTGCACCCTAATCCCCAGCCCAGGACCTGCACCCCAGACCTCCTCCCCCCACCCAACCCCCCTCCCAGAGCCTTAGGCAGGTGTGTGTGGGGGGTTCTGGGCAACACCAAAATTTCTACAACCCTGCCACCCATGCGAGTGGATAAGGGTCGGGGCAGTCAGGGGACAAGAAGCAGGGGGGGTTAGGGTTCTGAGGGGGGCAGTCAGGGGGTGGGAAGTGGGAGGGAGTGGATGGGGGCGGGGTGGGGGCGGGGCTAGGGCGGGGCTCCCCCCGTCCTCTTTTTTGATTGTGGAAATATGGTAACCCTAGATACTGAGTATCTAAATAGGGAACTTCTTCCCCCATTCCTGGAGCTATAGCTGAAGACAGGCTGCAGCCCAGCTGGATACTAGAAACACAACATCCAGAGCAAGGGGTTGGATTCTCCAAAAGCGAGTGTTCACCTTTCAGGAATGAGAGTAAAATTCCACGTATCAATGGGCTGTGCAGGGAGGGAGGGGGATCTTTAGCCTTCACCTCCCAAGTGCAGAACACTGTGAAGAGAAGCTAGAGATCTCTTAGGCTACATTCAGTCCTGAGGTAAGCACATGCAACTCCATTGACTTCAGTGGAGTCACACCTGCTTGAACTGGGCCCCTTGACCTTCCCATGCCAGGGCAGGATTGTCTGCTCCATTGCTTTGGCCAGCCTAGTTGCAAATGTTTCAAGTGACATGTTTCATGCTATTCCACAGTGTCAGAGATCTCCCCAACGGACAGTTTCTTCTGATAGTCAACCTATTCCTTTGCTTAGTACCATCCTTTTCCTCCTGGATATACATCTCTCTACCCTCTTCTACTGCCTTAAAAATTCCTCCCTCTCTTCGGTGTTTGAACCCTTTGGAAATTGGCCGACAGTTGGCATGTGTCCCCTTAGTTGTTCTGTGGTCAAGCTATAAATACAAAGACGACTACATTACATAAATGTTAGGTTAAAAGTCAAACACTGAAAAGAGGAAATACCAGATTTATGGTTACCTGTGCAACCTATACATTGAACAAGACAGGGGTCCTGTGGAGAAAGTAGCAATGTGATTGTTTTCAGAGTAGCAGCCGTGTTAGTCTGTATCCACAAAAAGAACAGGAGTACTTGTGGCACCTTAGAGACTAACAAATTTATTAGAGCATAAGCTTTCGTGGGCTACAGCCCACGCACACGAAAGCTTATGCTCTAATAAATTTGTTAGTCTCTAAGGTGCCACAAGTACTCCTGTTCTTTTTTCAATGTGATTGTGTAATTAAAGCTATCATAACACACCCATACAAGGGGGCCAAATTAAAGCTGCAACCAATAGGGGCAATTTTAGAAAATGCTCAGTGCATCCTGCAAGGTGCTGAGCGTACTCTGCTCCCATGTGAGTGCAGTCATGCCACCATAGAACTAGTACAATGCAATAGAAAATTAGTGACTTCTATTGAGAGTGGAAGGTGTTAGCACTTTACATGATCAGGCTTTATGAGGTTGGAGGCATGCTGAACCAATGGACTCCTAGTCTAGCCCTTCCCTTAATAGGTATTGCCAGATAATAATAAATAATAATAATGCACAACAACAGTGGGCATAGTAGAAGAGGACAGATGAGAAGAAAGCACTGACTTTTTATCATTTTTAAATGAAAGCAAAATGAATGAAACAGTTTCCCAAAAGAAGTGGTTAAAGCGCTTGGGCAGTTGAAAGCAGTCCTGACAAAGCATTGGCTCCAAGAAGGAACAGAACTAAAGGTTACAATTATCCAAGATATCAGTCATAATAAAAATAATTAATACTAATATACTATACTCGCTAGTATTTTTGCGCTCTCCTTACCTGGCTATGAAGGCACAGAAAGCAGACTATCAAAAGTGGAACCACAACCAGTATTAAAAGAGCCAAAGTGCAAAGGTTCATCCGATTGCATCCTGAATTGTTTGCTTCCTTGGGAATATTCCCATTCTCCAGGAAATTTGATATTTCCATGTTGCTTAGCTCTCAAACTGCTAGAGATGAGACAGCTCAAAACCAAACAGCAGCAGCAACATTTAAAAAATACTGCAAGAATTCCTGAGTTCTTGACACCAAGAATGAGTAGCCCTGGACGGAATTTATATGCAGGGGATAAGATGGAAAAGGGAGGAGCTTATGCATGTGTTTCATCACTGTGTAGCTGCAGAAAGCAATTAGTCAGCATTTCCTCATGAAACTGATGTAGACAACGGAACTCTCATTTGGCTCCAGGCCCAGAATGGAAGGTGGCTTTGAAATGAAACTCAGCCAGCAAACTGCAAACATTTATGAAAAACCCCCAACATTTTCAGACAAGGAGCTGAGTTCACAAAGCTCTTCGAAAGAACAAGAGGAAGGGCAAGTTATGAAATGCACAAATCCTAGCATTTGCAATATATTGCAGAGTCTGATTGTTTTTCTCTCCACAAGGATTTGTTTTACAAGAGTTTTGGTATCTGGATTAAAACAGTTTCTCAATTCCAATGCAGAAAAACAGAACAGTATTGACAGAAGGCAGCTTTTCAATACTCTGAGAGATTTATTATTTGTATAGTAAACACGGAACTAGTCGAGATTTCAAAGCAATGACAGAATATGAGCCACATTTCCAAAATTGGCCACCAAAATTGCACCCAAAAAGTTTGGCAATTCACCTTTTGGAGCCACCAACCCTATATTATATTTTCATTTGAAAACAGTGACTTGTGCATGTAGTTCCCTGCTTTGTACACTGGAAAGGATCAAAAAAAGAAGAATGCAATTTAATTTCATACAGCTCCATTGCACCCATTTGAAAATTGTAAATTGCTTTCAGTTTGCAGGGCTTGAAATTGACCAATTTGTTTTTCAAATACATTTACATTGTTACCCATTTCCAAACATTTTAAATTTTCAAAAACAAAAATTAAAACAAAAAATATTCTACATTTTTAGTTTTTGAAAATGACAGGAAAAATATCATGTTATTCATTTTTAAAAGGGAAAAAAGGAAAAACAAGAAATGGGGTGGGGAAGAAAAGAAAGAAAAGAAGGAAAAAGTAAAATGCACAAAATGAAAATAAATGTTAAAATATCAACCAATAGAATGAATACATTTTGGTTTCCAGATTTTGTGAAAATTTGGGGCTTTTTTAATAGAAGGAAAAGAATTGAGACTTTTTTATTTAAAAAAGCCATTTTTGACACACACAAAAACAAAAAACCCAGTCATTTAAATAACTTCAACCAGCCCATTTTGCCAGTGTAACAGGGACGCAGGCAAATTTTATTCACACATTTTAGGCATCCACTTCTGCAATTCCTCCACCTCCCACCCCTCCCCTTTGCTACAACAGTGCATTTGGAAATGACAGCTACATAAAACAAAATACAGCAGAATCTCTCTGGTTTGCATTGATCTGGAGATTCACTGAAGATTATTCAAATTTGCAAAGTAGAGCAACCCCTCCCCCCCCCAAAAAAAACAAATCAGCCAAAACAACAACCAAACAATCAAGGATGCTGCATTAAAACACACTTTGTGGGGCTATTTCTCATTTACACTAATTCCCTTTATACCACTTTGGCAGCATAAACGGGCCTTAAAATAAGTGTTCGTGTAATTTACATTCATCTTAAGGTAGGGTGACCAGATGTCCCAATTTTATAGGGACAGTCCTGATATTTGGGGAGTTATCTTATATAGGCCCCTATTGCCCCCCACCCCCGTCCCAATTTTTCACACTTGCAGTCTGGTCACCCTATCTTAAGGTCCCTTTTGCACTGCCACAGAGAGTTGCCCAAATCTGGCCGAATGCATTTTAAATAATTTGAAATATTACACTTTGTAACTCATGAGAACAGTCCACTTTCTATTATAAATGTGTATTGGATTGGTAGACTTCATGTGCGCTTACTAGAAATGGGTCGTTGCCACAGAAATTCAGCTCTAGATTTCAAGCACCACTCAGTTTGTAGTTACTGTCTTGTGGAAATGTCCTGTAGATTTTAACAAGGTTAAAAGCCATGAGAGTTCTATTGAGAAAAGGGGTCTAAAGAAATTACTGTGAAACACCACAGACTCTCCAGCTGTTACCTAATTTTTTCATATGTAAAAAATGCTTTTTAAGAATCACCTGCCTGATTCCCATAATAAGCACTTAAGTGATGGCATATGAACAGGCAGAGTAAATATAAATGTCTTTTACAATGTGATCCTCTCTTCATGGGATAATAGATATAGTCCCACCCTGTTAATTAGCTGCCATTGATGGACCACCAATTTGCAGGTGTAATGAGCAGGAGGCTGCTTAATTCCTTTCCCAGTAGAGCTAAACCTTTGGGGGATGGAAAGGAAATAAGATAGAGACGATAGTCTGAGAGACTAACAACAGGGGAAAGAGAGAAAAAGAGAGGACCTGTCATACTTATGGCAGTTCCTGCTGAAAGGAGGGACTCCGATTTTCAGGGAAACAACCGAGAGGGTGAAGCAGTTATGAACTAAGTGAGGCTGTTGCAAGAACAGCACTAGCAACCTTTACCCTTTTTAACATAGACTTTCACTACCCACGCTAGCGCCACTCCCCATACCTGTGGTTAGGTGAGAGGAAGAGTAAAATGGTTGGATTTACAGGTGTCTGTTTCCCCACTTTCTTAAATAAACAGCACATAGTTTAAGCTGCACCTCTGATAGTTGCTGAGTATCCATCCCAGAAGATGAGAAGGGTGCTACCTTCCAAGATGGAGGACAAACGGATATAATTCCCCAAGCTAGGGATGTCAAGGTCACAAAGTCTTAGTATGTGCCACAGACTACAGATAGGGCTTCATACTGGTCTGGGGGTCACCCTCTGGCCTACCAAACATTGGGATAGAGTGACCCATTAGTCCCTAGGGTTCCAACATGCCAGCTAAGATACCCTGTTAGCAACACAAAACACTGCCAGACCCCAGATCAGCCCCTTCAGTTCCGTCTCCGCACTGTTAAGTTCACCTCCCTTTTAACCTCCATTTGCAATTCACAAAAAAAAAGAACCAGGCAATCTTCATTTTGAACCAAAGCAATGCAGAGTTCTTGTGAAATCACATCAGCAATGCCAATGGGCTTCTTAGTGGATTATATTGTTACAGTACAGTTGAGCAGCTAATCAGAATGAATAAATATTTGCAACTTGCAAGAAAGTGTTTCATTGTTTGCTGAATTATGCACAGTGTCTCACTATTGAAACACCAGGCACAAAGTACAGTAGAATGACATTCACAGGATATAATGTACTAAAGAACATTTACAAGGAATCTAAAGATAAGTACACTAGCCGTGCCCCACCACACACCAAAAAAACACCCCGCGTTGGAAGAATGGTATACCTCTACCCTGATATAATGCGACCCGATATAACACGAATTCTGATATAACGTGGTAAAGCAGTGCTCCGGGGGGGGGGGGGGGCTGTGCACTCCGGTGGATCAAAGCAAGTTCAATATAACGCGGTTTCACCTATAATGCGGTAAGATTTTTTGGCTCCCGAGGACAGCGTTATATCGAGGTAGAGGTGTATTAATATTGCAGTCAGGTCAGGCACTCAAAAATTAAGGAATGCCAGAATTACAGATATTAATTAATTAAGCCCAGTGAGGTATTGTAGAGATAAATATTATTATACCCATTTTACTGGTGGGAAAACTGAGGCAGAGACTGAGTAGTTTATCCAAAGTCATAGGATAAGTAAGTGAAAGAGGGAGAGAGACAAGGACTGAGCTCAGGAATTCTGATTCACTGTCTCCTTCTTTAAGTCCCTAAACACATTCCCTCCCAAAATAGTTAGCATGGGCCATTTATTGTTTCTATTGATGTGGTTATGTGTCTGTATCATTGTGATATTGGAAGATTTTGTAATGGTCTGTCCCTTTAAAGCCGCCCTACAACTGTAAACAGACCCGAACAAGTTTGTGAGCGTGAGTCACCAGCGCATGAATGTACAGTGTGTGGAGCAGGCTGTGGGGAGTCTGCTAAACAAATAGCACTGGACTGTTCCTCTGTGCAGATGTGTTGCTTCAAGACAGTCATAACAACAGAGAGAGTGACCACATGTGCAAGTGCCTCTGGGACAGAGTGAGCTGGTGGGATACGAATGGTGGACTGGAAGACTGCGTCAGTGTGGGGGGTTGGCATGTATGGCAGGGTGTGGGCTGGGAAGAGTGGGAGAGGGTGGGCGTGTGAATGTTAGGGGATTGCTCATGTACTGGGGAAAGTGGGTGGGGGAGTTCTGGGGGAAGTGGGGGAGTGGATGTGCATGTCGAGGAAGCAGGTGTGCTCGAGAAAGTGGAGAGAGTGGATATAGGAGTGGAGGTGTGCTGCGAAATGCAGGTGAGGATGGAAGAAGCTTGGGAAAGCAGGTTGGGAAGGGAAGTTTTGCATGTGGGCGGGGGAATGTGTCAGCCTGCAGATGAGGAGTTCTGTGTGGGCTGGCCTCACGTCAGTGCCTGATAAACACAATGACGGCACAATGGTGAGCTTGGCACTTTGTACCTCAGAAAACACCAGCCGTAAATATAGCTATGTGACTTTCAGTCAGTAAAGGCTGCTGCGTAGTTTTGATTGCACATTCATAAACTCCATTGTTATTCCCGCCTCTCCCCCATTGATCCATGGGTCTGCGTGTAGTAGTGAGTCACTCCAGAGGCAGTGGTGTTGTTTTGTTTTACTGGGGATTGATTTTGAAACTTGTGAATAATGAAGACTCCCTAGCAGCACTGAGTTAAAACTCAGTGTCAAAGACTGGACCAGGTTTTTCTCATGTAAACAAAAAGCAACTGTAGCTTCATTTTCCGTTTGTTTTCTTCCTCATTTCTTGGCACTTCTCAAAATAGCTCAGAAAGCTAAATGACTCCAGCTCTGGGAATGTGATTGTGAGATGAAGAATGTGACCGCCAGTGACTGGATGCTTTAGCTATGCTAGGCCTTTCCCCTTTCATTCCTTGTCTGTTCCCATGGGAGGGAAATGAATTAATGCAAAACACTCCTATTAAAGGAGAAAGGTTGGAACCCCCATGAGCCAGCCT